CGAGATCGTCATTATTTTGCTCGAGTTCATGGAGCTGTTCCGCGCACCTCTTCTTATAAGCATGGACATTAGAGTTAGGCGAGCTAGACTCCTCAAGAAGAGTGGGCATCACATAAGCCATGAACTGAAAGGAAAGTCCGGAAAAATTAGTATAAGACAAAAACGAGAATAAGAAAAATAATCAACTAAAGAAGAAGTCGAGAACACTTACCCGAGAAATGCACAGGAGAGCACGACCGGCACAGTCGTAAGGGTCGTGGCCGGCATGAGCTTTGTCGGCAGCGGGGATGACGGAATCAAAGTATTTGGAAATTTCATGAGGATGGGGATGATCCCAAAGTCGGGAAGGCCTCTCGAGGGTCAGCGTCTCGAGGGCGCCGGGAGAGCGGGGAGCCTCAACCGATTTCCCCTTATCCTGGCTCTTCTGGCGCTTGAGCGAGTCGGGGACTAGCACAAAGGCGGCCTCGTCTTGGGCCCTTTTATGGGACTTCGAGCCCGAGGCTTTTTGGGACGGGGCGGCAGACGGGAAGGTCACTTTTGACTTTTTACCGTCAGCCGTCTCGACTGCCGTCTTCTTCGATCTGGAACCAAGGCCGTCGTTGACCCCTGCTGGAAGAGAAGGTTGTTTAGCAGACTTCTCGCTGCCCTTCGCTTTCTTAGACTCGAAGCGCTCCAGAGCTTTAACTGAAAGACAAGGAAACAAATAATTAAGAAGCACCACTAACGATTACAAGCACAATGTAATTTACGAATAAAACAAGACAAACACATGAACAAGCAAACACGTAAGCTTACGAGGATCATCGAAGCGAGGAGCGTCCTCGTCAATCCAAAGGCCCACATGATTAAGAAGACCGCGATCCTTAACCAACAAACGGGCACTCCATTTGGATTTATTTAAGTCGTCCAACATATCCTGGAATTGGCTCGACTTAGGACGAGGTTTGTCTTGCTTGACCTTCGAGGTAAGCCAGATGTTGGAGAAAGGGTACTGACCGGGAGCAGGACGAATATAAAAGAATTTGGTCTTCCACTCAGTGACATTCGAGGAAAAATCATCGAGGAAGGAAACGCCGGGGCGACGACCCAGGCAATGGGCGTCCTTTAAATTTCTGGACGCCTTTGTACGTCATCTACCGCGACTGCAGTCGGACCATACCCCACTAGTCGTGAAATGCAAGATTGGCCAACACACGCCCCGGAGAGACAAGCCCTTCCGTTTCCTAGCCCCGTGGCTCTTAAATGAGGGCTTCAAAGATGTAGTTTTTGAGTGCTGGCCGGAGGAAAGAGGCTATGTGCAAGCAACTGATGCCTTCTCACACACGGCTCGGGAGGAAATTCCGAGTTTTTGGCAACATTTTTGAGAAAAGGAAAACCCTCATGGCACGTATTGTGGGTATCCAACGCTCACTACATTATCACCATTCCCCTCAGTTGGCTCAGTTGGAAAACATCTTACTCCAGGAGGAAGTTCTTGATCCAGAAAGTGTGATATAGATAAAAAATAAATAAAATATAAAAACAAAAAGAAAAAAGATTAAAATAAATAATTATTTTAAAACAAAATCGAAAAAGAAAAAACTAGCATGTTGCGCATGCATATAATAAAATATGATTTTAAAACAACAGATTGAACGCATTCAATCAATTGAACGAAGAAGTGGCCCCCTTTGAATGGATGAGCCCTTTTAATGGATGAGAACGCAGGGCGTTAAAACGGCAAAAATCATTCATGCGATGCGGATGCTCTTAGAACAGTGTAGCTAGCTAATCAGCCCAAGATTGTCTTCAATCACATTATTACAAGATCGACTGCTACAGGAAGAAGGTGGGTACACACAGTCTGCATTCTTTAGCAGAAATGGAGGTCGAAGAAGATGGCCGTCTGGTTTTCGAGGTCAACGGGGAGAGTTTCGAGGTCCACGAGATTGACCCCTCGACCACTTTGCTCGAGTTCTTGCG